CTATCGTCGCCCTCTCCCATCCTGCTCACTTATCCATTTCATCAATATACCGCGTGTTCACAATTGTTCCTGACTCTTCTGTAGATCTCTGCGCGTGTGTGTGTGCGTGTGGATGTTTACTGTTCTTTTTCTTGTGATGGAAACACTATAAACATTTGTTTAGTATAGAACTATAATAGCGAATGAATCGTGAACTGAAAAGCTGGGAAGCACTGAACAGCTATTTTGACCCGGTTGGGTCTAATAAGCAGTGCGAATCCATCGACCCAACAGGGGATCGAACCCGTGACCTCACAGGCAAAACGCAAGCATGCTACCTACTGCGCCACCGAGCGGCTGATCAGTATTTTTGATTTTCCATTCACACGATATAGCACAACCCATCTTTGCCAGCCACGGACCTCACTCGTCTCTGCATTAGCTTCCGGGATTATGACTCGGTTGGAAACAATCACAACCTGACTACATTTTAGGTCGATGGATTCGCACTGCTAATTAGGATCATCAACAGCTCAATCGTTTCACACCTAGTGGAATCAAACCACATAGTTGACGTGGCCGAGGCGTTTCGACCCCCTCTACTTTGTTCCCACCCACCGATCTAAGAGGATAATGAATCGCATTTTAGCCACAGCGGAAGCGATCGGAATCCGCCCACATAATCCTCCTTCATATAACTCTCGGTTTTCCATGGACAACACCACACACGACAGCCAGCCCTAATGGCCGAAACAGCGCGTGTGTGAGGACCAAAGTGTGAGCAACATCCGGCCATAGAACTGAAATGTTGATTATGTCTTTTCCAACTTGTGATGATTCCCTCCCTCTTCTTAACAGTTTGATATAAATAGTGATGTATTAGCCTGTAGAAGAATCACCGCAAACGAGCTTGTTCGCTACGTTGTGTTTACGTCACAGTTGGAAGTAGGCAATTTGGTTGTGCAAAATGGCTTTGGTATTTTAACTATAGTCGGACTGTGTAGGATTTTAGACACAGTGCTTTTCCTTCGTTGTAACAAGAGGTCAACCTTCAGTAGTTTACTTCAGTTTTACCAACCATTAACCATGCACTTTTGTGCGCCGGTTCGGGTTGTTGTCTTTTGGTGCCCCATTTGGATGAAAGAGCAGATTAAAGATTGGAATGTTGAAAGCAAATTCAAGCGGAAGATGGAGAGTTCATTTAGAATGATGTAAGGGGAATAATGAGTGGATGCACGAGCGCTACTGTTTGCGACATCCAGCCATATCACTCAGTGTATCTAACCATCGGTGACCATTATTCCGAGTTCCCCAACCAGGGATTCTAACGGGGCCTATGTGACCTAGTCTCCTGGTTAGTTTTCATACCCTCATGCCAGGTCTTCGTTTGACCACCCTTGCCATTTCCTACCGCTATCTGCCTCGGCGAACATCGTTCGCCGTGGCAACCTATTTGGTGACATGCGTAAAACATACCCCAACCAACGTAACCTGCGGAGGTGAATCACTCGCTCCAGTGGACGACTTTCATAGATTACGTTGGTTGGATTATTTGTTACGCATGTCACTAAATACGGTGCGCGATGTTCGCCGAGGCAGGTAATGGGTGGGAAAAAGCCAAAGGTGTTCAAACTTAGACTCAGCCCGAGGGTATGAAATCCCTAACCAGGGTACTGGGTCACATCGGACTTGTAAAGCACCCTCATTGGGGACCTCGGGACGGTCGTAACCGATGGTTAGATGAACTGACTGATATGGCTGAGTGTCGTCGACAGTGGCGTTCGTGCGTCTTCTCAGTTTCTTTGCAACCCTAGACCACTGAAATTCTCTCTTTTATGTTCGATTGTACCTCAAACTTTCCTGTCTTTTCCTATTCTTCATCCCAATGGGCAGTCAAAAGACGGCAATGAAAACCGCCGGACGAAAGGTGCATGATTAGTTGCTGTACAAACTGAAACTGTCTGGGGTGAATGAGGTCTTTGGAATACAAAAGATACTTCCGGAGCCGAATGGGTAATAAACTGATCTTTTTGGGCAGCACACAAAGCACATGAGGAAATACGGGGAAACTGTGTGAGAAGATGCAACAGAATGCAAGCATTTTTGAAACTAAGTACCTTTTAGGCAAGGGAGGGGGAAGCAGTATTGGTTGAGTAAAATAGTGTGCAGTCAGAGTGGTATTTCTCGTGGGGAATTAAAGATCTCCCAAGGAGTGAAACCCATATTCAAGACCATCAAGAGTGCCTGGTGCCTCTGATCAATCGAATGGGCTAATCCAGCCTGATACTCTATGTATTTCTAAAAGTTGTTAACTCGCATCATTACGATAGTGACATAACTGAAGAAACACCGAATGTAAGCGAATAATCGGAAAGACCATCGACGAAATGTGTCAAAGGTCAGGTTTGGTCAGGCGATTTGTATGTATGAGGAAGAGAGTAATCGAACATTGTGTTGCGTCATCAGACCGGGTCTTTCTGATAAGAATCAATAAACGACTTGCGTGTTGAGTTGTTTCGATTCGTTTAATTGATTTTGTTTACAGCTCTTGATGTAAAATGGACTGTGTCCTCTGCGTTCATCTGCTCCCACTTCCTAGAGGCTTTAATATTTGATTTGTCTGTCCCGAAGCCCCTATTACTGTTGCCATCTAACCGTGAGTGTCTGTTGCATTTCATACAGATTCATCTCCGATCAAGGTAAAGGTTTCGGTCGTGTGCAGTTAGATGGGTCTTTCGTGTGTTCAATTTCGGATTTCCTAATATTTTTCAATCGCAGCTCTTTTTTTTTGGAGGGTGGGAGGGGATTTAGTAAGCAATAAATAAGTTTCGATCATTTTCTGACCTATTCCTTCAAACTGATTTTCTCCCCCCCCCCCCCCTTTTTTG